GGCTCAGGGATGGGGGTCCCAGCCCTGCTCCTAACCCACCCCCCCATTCCCCTTCAGATCCCCCCCAACCTGCCTTGCTCCGTCACGCTGCAGCCGGGCCCGGAGGACACGGGGAAGGTAAGGTCCACCCGCCCTCGTGCCACCGGGCAGGGGTGACCGGCCGTTGGTTGGGGTCACCGCTCCGGGGGGGGCAGCCTCCTCCTCTGCCCACTCCTGGTCTCCAGGCCTGCGGTGTGGACTACGAGGTCAAAGCTTTCTGTGCGGAGAACCTGGAGGAGAAAATCCACAAGAGGTGAGTGGAGAGGATCCATCCAGCATCCTCGGGTGCTGGGAGGGGCTGAGAGCTGGCAGCGGGGAAGGGGCACCCCGGTTTGTTACCCACGGTGGGTGAGATGGGGGTGGGATGGAGATGTCCTCCGGGATGGGGCTGGGATGGAGATGAACTCTGGGATGAGGCTGGGATGGAGATGAACTCCAGGATGGAGATGTCCTCCGGGATGGAGTTGGGATGGAGGTGAACTCCAGGATGGGGCTGGGATGGAGATGAACTCCAGGGCAGGGACAGAAGTGTCTGTTGTGCTGGGTGTGGAGTTGGGGCGAAGATGTTCACCAGGCTGGGCCTGGGATGGAGATGTCTGGGCTGGGTCTGGAGTTGGGATGATGTCCTCCACGATGGGGCTGGGACAGAGAAGTTTGCTAGGCTGGAGGTGGGATGATGATGTTCACCAGGGTGGAGCTGGGACAGAGATGTTCTCCAGGCTGGGGCAGGGATGGAGATGTCCTCTAGACTAGGGCTGGGGTGAAGGTGTTCTCCAGGCTGGGGCAGGGATGGAGATGCTCTGCAGGACAGAGGTGTTCCCTGGGGTGGAGCTGGGATGAAGATGCTTTTCAGGGTAGGGATGGGTCAGAGATGATCTTGGGGCTGGGATGGAGGCACCCACCACTGCGCTGCAAGCAGAGACCCCAACCCTGCCGTGGCGTGGGGCCACGCAGGCAGCCTGGCACGGCCGTGGGGCTGCCCCATGGCAGCCCAGGTGAGCTGGGCATCCAGCCGAGACCTCCCACGCCAGCCTTCTCCTCACCCAGCAGAGCAGAAGAAAGGAGGGATTTGACCCAGAATGGGCCAAGAGAGGGGACAGCCGGTGGGCCGAGCTGCCTGCAGGCGCCCGACGCCTGGGTTCTCCTCTCGCCGTCTCCCCCCAGGAACTCGGTGCGCTTGGTGATCCGTAAGGTCCAGTACGCGCCCGAGCGACCCGGCCCCCAGCCCATGGCAGAGACCACCCGGCAGTTCCTCATGTCGGACAAACCCCTGCACCTCGAGGCGTCCCTGGACAAGGAGGTGGGCGAGGACTGGGGAGGGGACACTGGCGGGGC